TACCTTCATGGACTGGGAACGCGTTTGGCCACCTGAAGAAAACCCAGCAGATACTATAGCAGGGAGGCCTGTGTTTCCCAAAGTAGGTGCCTGGAGCTAAGTGTCCTGAGTCCTTGCTCTGGCACTTGGGATAGTCTCCCGCTCTTCAAAAGTGATGAACATCTGGCAGCTCCCTGTGACCTGGCAGTGGGGATTTTCTGAAAGCCCCGGGGGACTTGAGTGCACATCCCATGGGCTTCTCCATTGCTCCAGGCCTTTGAAATTCAGGATTGCCATGCCAAAGCAAGCCTGGCTAGCTGAGAATAGCCTAGTTGTCTTCACCCTGCGTTGGTGAAGGGGGATTGAGCTGCACACCCTCTCCAGGTCCCTCCCAGCCCTATGTGTGTCACTTGGTAGGGACTGCTGGCTGCTCGGCCTTTTTGAAATCGGGCCACCGGCCCAGTTGCCAAAACAAGGAGTCAGTCGGTGCCTATTTCTGAATGCATTGATCTATTGACTTTTAATTGGGGTAATTTCATCACAAATTGGCTGGTCAAGGAGCTGCAGTAGAACATCGCAGCACTGCCCAGTGTCAAGTCCTCTTCCAGCTGTGCATTCAGCTCTGGGTGTGCACATGCTCAGCAAACCCCAGATAGGGGGCTTTGTAAGAAGCAGTTTGTTCTTCTGCCCCAACTGCAGGCTATAAATCAGTGCTGAGCCAGCCTTTGCTCCAGTCCCTTCTCCACCACTCGCGATCTAAGGAGCAGCACCAACGTTGGCAGCTAGCACAGCTTGCTTCGGCTCTGCTGGAGTGAGCAGGGTTCATTAATGGTGCTTGTATGATTTAGCAGTGCTGTCGTGGTGTAGCCCTGATGGTCCACAGAACATGCAAGCTGCAAGATTCGTTTGGGGATCCCTTTAATTGGACCAGTTGCATAGCTCAGAGGGGTGAGGGCTTGTCTGGCATCTCTTCCAGCCTGATTTAGGATAATTAAGTGTCTTTGGGGCATCCAGGGAGACATCTGTCGTTAGTTTCCTCTCCCAATTCCTTCCCTACCACTCCTTTAGTCTTCATTTTGAAGACATGGGCTTCCTCAGGTGTAGTATTTTCATGCCCTTCTGCAAACTCAAGAAGTCTGGGAAGGTATGAAGCCAGCCTGGGCCCAGAAACCCCTCAGTGACAGCTTCAGGAGCTCTTGGAGATCCTTCCTGCAAGGCTTTGTCTCGTAGGAAGGTTCAGAAGGGAAAGGACGAGTGTCTGGGAGGAGGCAAGGGGCATCCATACCAGGCCCAATATTTCAGCAGCTGAGGCAAGAGGGATCCCCCAGGCCCCTGTGAGCTCACCCTCAGGTCCATGAGGCCTGCAGTTTGCACCAGTATGGCACCACACATCCCTTTGTCTTTGGCACCAACCAGAGAGAGCATTTCTACTTCATCACCATGTGACACAGTGATGCTAGATTTGCTGTTGGCTCCTGTGGTGCTTTAAAACCGTCAGATCAAGTCATAGCTCTTCCCATGGGGCTAGTGTGCTTAAGACCTACCATTTCCTGTAGCCAGCACAGAAGGGAACAGTGTGCTCTGGATCCTAGAGACGATGGATTTCAGCAGCGATTGACCTGTCTGCTGTGACCGTCCTTATGCACCAATCTGCATGTGCCTACATCGGTATATGCCCAATTGCCATCACGTCTGGCCGTCTTTGATGCCAAGTGCCCATTTACAAGTGGATCAAGTGGAAGCACCTTTGGCACGTCCAAGACTTTTTATAAAGTACAGAAGCTCTTCAGATTCCTTGATAGACCGTTCGTAAAAAACCTCAGACATTCCTCCCACCACAAAGCCAACTGGCGCCATCTCCCCATCCATAGGTCTCCATTACAGGCAGCCAAGACCGTATGGCAGGCTCCTGCTGTTACTCTGCAGATGGGTAAAAGCAGAGAGAAAACATTTCTCATCGGTGAGGCAGTGCTCCTTCTGCACCGACTTCCCTTGCGATCACAGCAGTTGATGAGAGAAGCGGACGGATACAGCCAAAATGCGTCAGTGACTTGAGAGAGAACGCACCTCTGTGTGACTGTGCTTTTTGATTAACAAGCCACCAGCCAGTAACAGCAACACTTTGATTTTGTTAACGATAACAAATGAGCACAGTTTGCTAAAACTTCCAGTAGCGTGTGGGGACTGCTTTGTGGCCTGCATTAGTGAAGACAAGTCCGCAACAAGGGCTGCTTGAGCAATGACCTTGGAGGCTGCAGAGAGTGATCACTGTGATGTTAGTGGTGTTTTAGGAATTTGGCCACTGCAGAGGAGGCATGGGTGATGGTGGAAGACCTTCCATTTTATGGCAACACGTTATCTAGCAAGAAGGCAAAGGAATCTCCCCATATGCTGAAAGATGCACACCACACTTTTTTATCCCTGGGGAATGTGCATCTATAACCAAAACCAGCCCACTACAGACTTACCCTAAATGCAGATATACTCCCAGGTGATTTTGGCACTAATGTTTAGGTGAATAACCACAAAAATGTCGACAGGTGAGAAGGGGCCTGCTTCGTGGTGCCTCCAGCATCAGCTAAGCACACGCTTTGATGGGACCTTTAAGATCAGTTCATCATTTATTGCTATATCTGCCCACCCTCCCCATCCCTCTACTCCGTATCGAGAGCACCTGCCAGTTCATAGCTTCATTGAAAACATGATGAGGGGCAGAGATGCTGAAAACTATTTCACTGGGCTCCGCAATCCGGTTCTGCGACCCAACCTCCTTGCAGAGCCGCCCCCCACCTTGCTACAGCTTACGTGAGAAGGAAGCGATGCTGTCTTCCAGCTGGGGTGGATCAAACTTGTGCTTTCCCAGACTAAAAGGAACGGTTTGTATTCCTTGTCCTTACTGGGCCCCACAAAGGCAGGTGGATAAAGACCCATTGTGGACCATGGAAACCAAAATGTTGTCATCCGCAGTATTGGGTTATAGAACAGCCAATTCCTTGATCCCGTCACGAGATCAGGAGAGTTGGTTTGCAGCTCTTTCTGCATGAAGGATGCCTCCTTTTGCTGCCAACATGCACCTGCAGGTCCCTGACGAGCCCGCATGATTGCCAGCTGCAAGGTGCCCCCTTTCAGTCTTTCACCAGCGCAGAGGGTTCTCCGAGGTCATCTTGCACCTGCAGTGCTGGAGGCTGCAAGGGAAGAGAGGAACATGGAAAAGACCCTGGTCAGACCCAGGTCACTCTGACATACCAAAGGGATTTGGGAACTGGCAAAAGTGAAAGCTCAGAGATCCCAGACCCCACTTGCCACAACCCCCCAACCGAAATGCAGTCCTTGATCCAGCGCAGTCGTGCTTTGCCTACTGCGTCCCAGGGCATCTAAGTGCAGGCATCACCCATCAGGTAGCTTGCTCCCAACCAGTGTGAAGGAGAAACGCAATGGGTTTTCTTTCGGGAACACCCTGAATTGGAGGCTTATTGGGGGATGCCTTCCTGACTCGGCTTGTCTCTTCATCCCTCCTGGTACTTCCAAGAGTCCCGAGACTCTTTTTGAAACCCTGACCCTTATGATTGAGAATCTTTTTGAAACCTTGACCCTTATGATTGAGAAGGGCCTTGGCCTTTTGACTTGCCCAAAATTAAACTATTCAGGAAACACCCTGGGATATTTTTATCCTTCACATAGAGAATGGGAGTTTTCACTCAAAGTGCATCTTGGGGTGTATCCAGCTCTGCTACGGCCTTTCTAACCCTCCTCATCTTAGCAGCATTATTATCAGGCAGACCCTGGGACCATGGGCATGTAGAGCGCACGCACAACCTGTGCAGTACGTCCCCAAGGAGGAGAGCACATCTCAAAGGGCTCCGGGTGCTGCCAGTTCCCCAGCTTCTCCTGCATCCTCATCCTTCCACTCTTCCCCTTCCTTCCCCCATGTCTCTCATTTCCTTCTTCTGGACTGCTGGCTCCAGCTACTACGAAGTACCAATAAGATGGGCACGTAGCAGCAAGCTCCATAGTAGCAGTAATAGTATGAAGGGGCTGGAGCTAGCCTTAAAGTGGCCAGCTTGGGTCCTGGTAGCTGTCTAGCAGGACTCATTTACCCTGCTTCTAGTGCGGCGGGATGGGTGCTGGGCCTGGTGGCTGCACCGATCTTAATCAGACCTACCCCACCCTGAGGGCTGGCGGCGGCTGAGGCTGCGAGGCCATATCTGGCTCTCCAGGCCTCCTGCTCCTGGAAGGACCTAGGATAGTGGCAGGACCGGGCTGCTCCACGCTTCCCGCCTCCCTCAGCCAAGACCAGGCGACAGGCGGGTGGATGGGGGAGGGCGCAAACCCCTGTGCAGCGGCAGATGGCTTGCAAGCAGCTCCCAGGGCAGCCGTGTGTCGAGTACCCCTTCGGGCATGGCTTTGTGTGGGGAGGCCTCCCCTCTAACTGCGACGCTGGGGGAATAGAGGTGGGAGTCGTCCCCCCCCCAGCCCCTTGAGTGGGGCCGGGGGCAGCAGCCAGGCTAACGCTGTCTGTCTCCAAGCGGGGATCTGACACGGGCCTGTTGTGGGCGGAGGGGGGCGGACGTGCAGATGCAAGGCAGGGAAACGCAGTGGAATTCTGCTCCAAGTCCGGGACCCCAGCTCTGAATTCCCCACGGCCACTGGGAGCGCCATGTTGGGGGTGCAAATTGACGCTAGGAGGGTGCAGCCTCAACGAGAGCTCCCGGAGAACCTCATGGCTCCAGGCCTTGGTGGGTGGTGCACTGCCGGTCACCCCTTGCTCTCGTCGCTGCATCGGGAGCTGGCCTGGTCGCAGCTCACGCCTCCAGTAGGGCCAGGCCGGCTGCCCTGGGGGGTTGCCCATTGGGACCCCCACGGCAGAGCTGGGCCGTGCCGGACTCCCCGGCCCCAGGGGCGTTCCGCTGCGTTGTCTGCCTGGGCCTTGCTGCTGCATCCGTGTGCATGGGAGCACGCGTGCATGTGGGGGTGCCGGGCCCCGGTTCTAACGTGCTGTCTTCTCCCCCCGTCCGCTGCAGAGACCTCACTCGCTCCGAGTCCGACTCCTCTATCCCGCACATGAGCGACCACCAGCGCGTCTGCAGTCCTGCCTCCAAGCTGCTGGTGGCCAGGCCCAACCTGCTGGGCCGAAGCGTGGAGGAGGCGGCTGCCGCCCTGTGTGGGCCCACCTCCAACGGCGGCAGCCGGCACGCCGAGGCCTTTGCCTTGGAGCGGCTGGCCGAGAGCCCCCGGGTGAGGAACAAGGTGATGGCAGTGAACCACGGCTTGGAGAAGTCCTGCAGCCTGGGCGAGATGGGCCAGGTGGCAGGCAGCAAGCACAGCCACTCGGATTCTTCCCACTCCCACAGCCCCAGCTCCACCGAGCCCGACACCCCGTCCCCCACCTCTGACTCCCGGCCTGGCAACGCCAAGATCACCCGCATCCCGCAGCTGGCCGCCAAGAAGAGCCCCGGGGAGGATGACAGCGGCTCTACGGGCGAGGAGACTGACTCCAGCCAGGGCAAGAAGAAGTTCCCTCTAAAGATCTTCAAGAAGCCCAAGAAGTAGGAAGCCGAGGGAGAGGAGGAGGTGGACCCCCGCCACGGCCTGGCCCGGCGCCACGCCAAGGGACAGCCCTGCCGCTCGCTGCCACCCGTGCCCTCTGCCCGCCGCGAGGAGGACCGGCTTCACCCTATTTATTTCCCGGGCGCCGGGAAGCCAGCCAGCCCCTCCGCGGGCCTAGCCCCTCGCTTCTCTGTGCATGGCTTCTGGCTGCTCTGTTCTCGTGCAGCCTCATGGTGCAGGGGCTTCAGCTCAGCGGGGGGTGGGGGTGGTATATTTTTGGTTCTTTTTTTTTTCCCTAGCTGCCTTTTTCTGGACTCTGCATCAGCATGAGACCCCGGGTGTGCACGGAGGGGGCTCTCGGAGACCCGCACCACTCGTGCCAGCCCCTGCCCCCCTTGGGAGACCAGACGGCCTGTGTGGTGAGGTGGGAGCGTCCTGTGTACAGGGCTCTCAGCCCCCTCGCGGCGGCTGCTTCTGACGCTTGATGCCTCGCGGAGCCCCCCACCCACGTGGCCTGGGGAAGGAACAGGAGCTTGCTGGCACGGGGAGAGCATCAGCCCACGCCAGCCCCCTCTGGTTCCCAGCTGCTCCCGCACCTGCCTGGCGGAGAAAAGGGCGGTGGCAGTGCTGGCCATGGGGGCAAGATGCCAACTTTCCCTCCCACCCGCCCAGGCCTCTGGCCTTGTCTGAGGCCCAAAGCCTGTCACACTCGGGCAGCTGGGCCACACAGCCCTGCTAGAATGATGGGAAGGAAACAGTGAGGCAGGGGGACAACCCGTCCTTGCTTTAGGGCTCAGGCACCCACTGCTATTCTTGGGGGCCCACTAGCTCCCACGCCCCTGGTCCCAAGCCTTTCAGCGGCCTCCCCGCTCTTCCCAGCACACCAGACCACTTCCTGCCCGCAGCCGCGCTCAGTGAGGGCATGAGACACCTTGCAAAGGGGCGCATGGGCCAGGGTGCAGGACGGAGCAAGAGGCATCAGTTGCTGTTTTGTGCGCGCCAGCAACCGGCAACTCGACCAAGTGCCTGCACTGCCCATGCCCACAGGCGGGAGAGAGATGCCGGGGTGCAGGATGGACACAATCAACGAGGGAGCTGGGGGCTCCAGGGCCTGGGGGAGCCTCCTGCCTTGTGATGCAGGACCCGATGCCGGCCTTGTGCCTGCGGACTCACCCCGAGGTAGCTCCGCGCACCCGCGGCAGCCCCTTCCCCATCGGCGGTGTTTGTCATGCCGTGAGACTTTTAAGCCAATAAAGCATGTCGGGGATTTTACCTGCTGTCTTAGCCCTTGCTCCTTCCCACCAGGCTCAGCCAGCACATGGCTCCCTCCTGCCCCTAACCCTGAACTGGGGGCATCATTTGTGGCTGCCACAATACACCGGCAGCTTCCACCACCCGGCAGGGCAAGCAGCGGCCCTGAGGTTCCCAGTTTGGAGCCTGCAGTGCTGCTGCGATCTGGCTGATGCAGCGATCCTGAGGACCATCCAGCACCACATCAGGCTTTGCAGCTTGTTCTTTGGGCCTTGCTGCTGGGCCAGGCTCCACAGCAGAGACACCCCAGGGGAGCAGGTGCTGGGCTGGGGCATTAATTATGCCCACAGGACACCCTGGGGGCAACAGGTGCTGGGAAGGAAAAGGCACATGGTCCTTTTGACTCCATATCCCCCAGCAGTAGGAGAGACCAAGGCCAGCTGTGTCCAGGGTCCAGGCCTGTATGCCAGGATGCTGCAGCTTGGTGGAGATAGGAAGCAGCAGAGGCTGGCAAGTACCAAGCACCTTGATTGCAGTGGCTGGGACCCCCCAAGACTGCGGCCCCTTTGGGAGGCAAACAGCCCCTGCTGGCTGCCCCTGGCCCAGTGCTGCGCTCTTCAAGGAGGTGCTGTAGGCAGTGTCCCAAGCTGACATCATCTCCCAGGCCCTGGCTCAGCCCTACAAGGGTGGCCCAGCCTGGGCTGTAGCCAGCACCTTGTGGGGGAGGCTTAAAAACCCTCTGACATGTTGCAGCAAGGGGACGGCAGCAACCAGCAGAGCCCAGAAGCCTGGGAAATCCTCATAGTAGCACACGGGCATCACTGTGCTTTACAACACGGAGCTATTACTCAGCCCTAGTAATGGGACAGGAAATTACCACGATCAGTTCTGCACTGATTAACACAGAACAAGGAGCATACAAGGAAAGTGGAGGAAACACCACCACTAAGCACTGCACACCCCCAATTAGCAGCTATCCAGATGAACCCCTGCATCCTGAATTCAGTGCATGGGCTCAGAGCTTAAGATGAGACACAGGCACACACAGGTCTTCCGGGGACCTCCCCAAACCCAGCACGGAGCTCGGTCTCTGATCGCGGCTGCTTGTGGAGACATCTCGCACTCTGACCCTTGCATTCGGATGCTGGGCCACTGCCCCGGGGCCACCTGTCACCAGCCAGCCAGTGAATTTGACATTGCAGGACTGCTGCCCTCACCCCTGGCACCACAGGATGTGATAGTGAGAGGATTCAAGCGCCCCTGGCCTTGCAGCTCTGAGCTGCCTGGCTTTGGAGGGGGAAACCCTCCTCTCATCCCAGCTTACACCAGCTGGAAAGGTCTCAGGAGGAAGAGAGCATGAATGGCTCCTTTCTGCCCACTGGGCAGTAGAAGCTGAGGCAGACAGTCCTTGTCCAGGCTCCCAGAGAGCACTGGCATGGTCCTACCTGCTCAGGGCACTGGGGAACCAAGCCAGACAGCAGCCACCAGGATAGCAACCCCTGCAGCATTTCGTGCTGGGGGAAGTCACTCATCAGTGCCCCCTCCACTGCCCAGGGACCATGTAGGGGCATCACGCCCTGTGGAGAACGTGGGTGAATGAAAGGAATTGCCTGGGAGGAATTTCCAACACCCAAAACCGGGGAAGGGTGCGAGGCTGGCAGGAGAGGACTGAAGCCCGGCTTTCGCTCACATGGATGCCAGGTGAGGCCTGGACCCAGCCCAGCTGGTCACCTGGGACTCACCTTCAATCCACCCTGGCACAGCTTCCAATGCATAAAGGAAACACTGTCCATTTCTGAGCATGCAGCAGCGAGGGAGCTTCAGGCTGTTACCCTGCTTGTTCACATCTGCAAACCCCTGAAACAGGCTGGGGTGCTGCAGGCAGGGTCCATGTTCTGAGAAGCATGCCGATTTGTCAACAGCTCCGATCTCCAGCAGGTGCTAGGAACCCAGCTGGTTAATTAGCTGTGGGATTCATTAATTGATGAGTATTTCCACAGTTTGGCAAGTGCAGGATGCTCTTAGGGTGTTAATTACCCTCCGGTCATATCCCATGAGTTGGTGGGTTGCAAAGAGTCAGGTTCAACATGGGGAAGAAACTCAGAGCCCATAGAGGGTCTCTGACCCTGTACTGGCCCCTTCCTTCTCTCCTGCTTCATCCCCTCATTGATAGGGCAGTGATGAGTATTGCACTTTGCGGTTGGGGGCAGGTTCAAATCCTACTGGAAAGGATGGATAGTCCACCAGGCACTTCTCCACCACGGACTTCTTGTGCTGCCTTGGTCAAGTCCCTGTGGGGGGAAAACAAGGTGCCCTCATTATACATCAGGTGCAAAATCCAAGTCAGCAGTAAAACCCACTGAAGCACCTGAGTGAAAACATGCTTGGGGCTGTACAGCTGCTGTGCAGCTCAGGGCAACCCCCCAACTCACTTAGCAAACCAAATATTTTGGTGTCTAAATCCTTTGGGATTCTCCAGTTTGGGGCAGCAGTGCCCCCGTCTCTCACAGGTGCCTGGCTCAGGGTGGGAGATCAGGGCTCAAGTGTGGTAGAGAGTGGGGAGTTTACAACGGGGATATTGGCAAGTCCCTGCCCTGACAGAGGGGCTGTGCTGATAGACATAAAGGGCAGCGTGTGTTGCTCTGGTGCTATGATAATGGAGTTATATCAGCTACTAGGCGATCCCTTAACCTTAAGCCTTCAGACAGCTTCAAGCTCTCCCCACTGCTAGATATGTCTGACCATGGGTGGATCTAGGATTTTAAAAAGCGGGGTCTAGGTGGTGTGGTGCATCATCGCTGCATATGGCACAGCATGTATTCTCCAGTGAAAGAAAAACTAGAAGCTTTACTAAAATGCTAGAGGGTTAGTGCCATATTATTCATAGATGTTTGGGTCGGAAGGGACCATAGCAGATCACTGAGTCCAATCCCCTGCCCTGGGCAGAAAAGAGCACTGGGGTCACACCACCCCAGCAAGGTGCATGTCTAGCCTCCTCTTAAAGACCCCCAATTTAATCAGAGTGAAAACAAATTTGACTATTGGAATGTGCACTGATTTGCCAGAGTAGATCTATCAAGTTTTAAAAACCATAACAAACTAGGCAAAAAAATGGTCAAAATAGTCCAAAGATTTTGTCTCATTAGTCCTGTAGCCCTTATAGTAAATGCATGTTTCTTATTTAGATACATAAAACAAAATCTAGCCTTCTTGAGCATCTGGACAGTGCCTCTAATACTTCACTGCCAGTCATTTTGACACCTAAGTTAATATGACCACACCTGAGTGAAGGTTTTAGGTAGAGCTGAAGATGGCCTGCAGGGCTGTGAAACAGAAGAGACATGTTACCAGAAGGAACAATGGGCTCAAGTTGCAGCAAAGGAAGTTAAGGTTGGATATTAAGAAAAACTTTCTCACTAGGAGGGTGGTGACGCACTGGAACAGGTTACCTAGAGAGGTGGTGGACTCTCCATCCTTGGCAATTTTTAAGCCCTGGCTAGACCAAGCCCTGGCTGGGATGATGTAGTTGGGGCTGGTCCTGCTTTGAGCAGGGGGTTGGACTAGATGCGACCTACTGAGGTCCCTTCAACCCTCATTTTCTATGATTCTATGATATTGACTATTGAAGCCCATTAGAGATTCCACGTTACAGGTGGGAAAACCAAGGCAGGGAGAAGACAAGTGACTCACCCAGAGTGACATAGTGAGGCTATGGCACAGAGCTGTAGTTTGCCCACTGCATAGCATACTCCTCCTTTACATCAGTATTTAACATGAATAGAAATTTCCTTGAGAAAGTGACATGAGGCAGGACATTGTGATTGCACTGGAGAACCTCTTATGGGTATTCCTGTACGAGTCCACCAAAGGCATCTGTTCACGGCCCACATGAGGCTGCGGTTGGAAACAGACATTGATCTATCTACTGTGCTGCACGAGGCTGTAGAAAACAGGATGTACTGTATGCTGGGAAACACCACATATTCATGGGATTGAAATCTGTGTTCTAGTGTGTAGGTGGCAAAGTCAGTCAGGCCTTTGGGATTTCCTCGCCTCTGAGTGCTCGCCTGTGAAATCTCGTTAAACAAAGGAATGGTCCAGGGTGGTGCATGTGTCCCTGTGCGTGGCTAAGAAAAGGAGAAAAATCATGCACCGCCACCCTCACAAGGTCTGGAGGAGGGAGACCCTCCTGTCTGCCCCAGGGGATGCTCAGACAATCCTGACACAGCCTCTGTATACATGGGTGGATCTAGGATTTTAAGAAAAGGAGTGTAGATGGTGAGGGGCATCATCACATGTGAAAACACCCATTTTTCTTCAGTTCTAAAGAAACTAGAAGTGTTACTAATACACTGAAAGTGGAACGAGCCATCCAGGTGGCCAGGAGGTGTCTATACATGTGAGACAGAAAGTGCTCCATGGGATGAGATGTGGCGTGGCCTGAATGAGGCAGGGCTCCACACTCAGAAAGCAATGGATCATGGTGACGTGCATGGCTTGCTGAATCCATTTGTGGATGTTTCGCAAGGCCAATTTGAGAGAAACAGCTTGTCATAAGTTTAATGGATCCAGGTGTTGTCTGAGTTGGAGTCCAAGTTTACAGCTTGCTGCTTTCTTCTTCCTTACTTCCTCGCTGGACAGGCTGCAGTTGGAGTACTGCATCCAGTTCTGGGCGCCGCACTTCAAAAGGGATGTGGACAACATGGAGAGGGTCCAGAGGAGGCCACTCGCATGATCAGGGGGCAGCAGGGCAGGCCCTACGAGGAGAGGTGACGGGACCTGAACCTGTTCAGCCTCCGTAAGAGAAGGCTGAGGGGGGATCTAGTGGCCTGTTACAAACTAGTCAGAGGGGACCAGCAGGCATTGGGGGAGTGGAGTCCCTGTTCCCCTGAGCACTGCCAGGAGTGACTAGAAATAACGGACACAAGCTGGCAGAAGGTAGATTCAGGCTAGACATCAGGAGGCGCTACTTCACAGTCAGGGCGGCTAGGATCTGGAAGTGGTGCCGGCTCCTACCCTAG